TGGTTTTCATTCCATTCACTAATTCATTCAAAGTTGGATACTTGGACCTAACTTTTTATAATTAGTACTTCTCTTTTGTTCCGCCAGTAAATTGGCTGATCTGCTGTTGCCAGATGCACGGACCATTTTCCCTGCCCATAATGGTAGTCTCATGAATCTGGTGCGCTTTCCGGCCATCAGCCGGTTACAGAAGATCCACAATGTGCAACTAGCTCTCTCCGCATTTGAGACTGTTGCTGGAAGACGTGGTCTATGCACTGCTGCTGGTGAGTCTCCTCTCTCGCTAACTTCTCTTGCTTCCTTATTATCCCCTCCAGTCATTCACACTTTCACTTTAGTATTACTTCAGTCATTAGTTTCTTCAATTTCATTCTAGGTCCATTTATTTCCCCATCCTTTCTCCTTCTGAATCATCACGTTTCCATTTATTTGTCACTTCTTTTGTATTTATGTGTTTCGGGCCAGGTACTTTGTCTTGCTGTTCTTCCATCCATTCTTTGTTCATTTCGTTGATCTCTCTGAAATCAATTCATCCATTCACTTGTCTAGAATTTACATTATCACCATGTCATTGTGGCTGTCTATATTTGTTGTGATTATATCTTGTTTATTTATTTACTTCGATCTGATTAGGGCGAACATCCTTTCTATATTCATCTTCCTATTGTTTCCTAAAATATCTATTCTGCGCATTCGTCTGTTTGCATAACTGCATTGTTATTCTGAGGTCGTCCAGCAGTAAGTCATGCTTACATGCATGCACTTTCATCTTTCGTCTCTTCCCTTTTGTTTGACTCTGTAGGTAATTCAACTACAGCATTACCTGTATGAAGTCCAGGGATGGGATCTGTTCGATCGAGGAAGAATTCACTGTTTAACACTTTGCCGATCCCAGAATTCAACCCGATTTTGCCTGAATTTTATCGTAAATCATATGGCAATCAGTCACTCTGCCCATATATCTACCTTCGATTCATATTATTTGTTCAATTTCCAATCTACCCCCTATTTGTCTGTTCTTGCTTTATATCGTGCCCCCTTATTCATTCTTGTTTTAACCATTAACTTATCGTAAATCTATCCGCCCAGCCATTTACCTAATCCACTTTAATTTAACTTTTAATTCAACCTAGATTTTTCTCCCCCTTCTGGTTCACCAATTTGCTCATCCAATCATCTTGTAATTCTCTGCTCTCTCCTCTTTCCTCTCTCACCAGGCAAACCAATCACCGAACGCGACATCGTAAACGGTCACAGGGCGAAAACTCTCTCCCTCCTCTGGTTCATTCTTTTGCGCTTCCAGGTCACGGCTCTCCTTGATCCGCCCGCTCTTCGCTCCGAAATTTCCCGCCTCACCGCTACCAACGTCTCTTTGCGCCGCGATGTTGAAGCTCTGCTTATGGCCAATCCGTCGTTGTCCGCTTGTGGTGATGAAGGGAACAACCCGTTGGTAGAAATGGAGTGCAACCAGCGAATCCTGTTTGTGTGGGCTAGGGCGGTGTGTTTCAGTGGTGGATATGATGAGGATGTTAAGGTGCGGCGCATTTCGGGTCGAGTTTGTGGTTCCGTATCGTTATTCAGACAGGCTTAGAGATAATCGGCTTCTAGTGCCATCCTTCTCCTTCTCCTTCATGTCAAATTTACCCGTCTGTTTAACCAAAGAAGGATTATACTTAATAATGCTTCATAAAAATTGGTTTAACTGAAATGACTTGATGATTCATTACTGTGTGAAATGAATGCAACCACAGCAAATGTCCAATACAACAACACCATCTGGTTTGCACCTAGCTACTTCATTTCCTTTTAGCGCATTTCATCTTACAACTTGTGTAGGTTGAAAATCTAGATCAATCTTTCTCGGACGGTCGCGTCTTTTGCTACATCTTGCACTTCTACCTTCCCACCCTCTTGCCACGTGGTCTGGTTCGAGGTGCCACTACGCAGACGGCACACCTTCATCCTGACATTCCTCATCCCCTGCTGTTGCGCAACAATGTGGCGAATCTGCGACTCTTCCAACAGCGAGTGAGTGAACCAACTCAGTCCCATCTAATTTTGGCTCTGTTGCTACCGTTATTTGTTGAGAGGTTTTCTATATTGCCTATAGTTATTAATCGTGGCGGACGGAATCGTGCTGTTTATTCGGATAAGTTAGCTAAGGGTGAATGCATTGTGTAAGTGGATGAACCGGTGAATTGTTGAACCCTTGGTAAACCATTGGACTTGATGGATCTTTTAAAGTGTTTAGGAGGAGTGTGGATCTTTGAGTCAGACATTTGAATTATCCGCAAATACTTTACTTCAGTTTTGACAATCTCGTATCGTCAAAGGGAAGACGCTTGAGTTCATAAGTTGATAAGTGAACTAATACCAGTTAAATGATCTCTGCGAACCCACAGCTCTGGCACCTGGGTGACGTGCCCATGCTTCTGAACGTCGGTCCAAACCTTCCCACCACTGCAAATACCATCACGCCGAACTTTACCACCGCCGACGTCAATCACCATCCTCCCAGCACTCTTCTTCCCCCAGGTATTGTGCTCACCACTCTGGCTTATCTTGCTTCGCGTCTCATCTGCGGTAAGGGTGGTGGCTCCTCTCGTTTACGTCGCATTGTTGAGAACCACGCTGCGCGCATCATCCAAACGCGTTGGAGGCAGAATCGGTGAGTTGGAAACAGAGCCGAGCGGTCGCTTTTAGCAGACTTTGCTTTTATGACTATTCAATCATCCATCCAATTAATTGCTAGGTCGTACATCCAGTTGTTCACTATTTATGTAGCTCTCGACTTTCTGTACATTAGTTTTTATTCTTTAAATTATTTACATCTACAGGTAACGATCTCTGATTCATAAACCTCTTTTTCTCTACTTCGACAGCCGTGGATGCCATCCACGTAATCGTCGGTTCACCTGTCCAATTTATCCATTCACTCAATAATTTGTGATTCACTAACCAACCCAATCATTCGTTTGAGATCCGTTTATTTTTCTGTCTACCCATTCTTTCGGACGTGTTCATTTGTCCATTATTATTTCATCTAGTTGTACCACTTTGTTATTTTGTAGACACAAGGGTGTCTATTCCTGTAAGCATTTCATTTTTGAAAGATTTGGGCTGAAGTGGCTGTTAAAGTCATTGTGGTTTCAACGGTTCCCTTCCTATTGTCAGGCTCTGGACATTCTCCTGATTTGTTTGAACTTATACCTTACTGAATGTATCCCAGTACTATCATCAATCCGATTATTAAATCATCCTCGAGGTTATTTTAGAGCATACCAGTTTAAAAGTAGCTTTGCATGTGGTAGGTATGCAGAAGAGTTTGAAGGGTAGTGGCACGGGAGAAGTGTGAGCAGAGCCCTACATCACCGTGTTGGAGGTATTCAAGTGTCTCTATCCGTCAAAAATAGACCAAGCACAGTAATTCTGATCCCGTTCCGTTCTTTTCAGTGCAACACAAGGCTCACAATTTCGTCCGAAATCTGTCTTTTCTCATCTTCCCACAATTCACAGTCTTTGTTCCTCCCCCTCCACCAACACGTCTATGGAGATGGAAGTCGGTGAAAATGTTGCTGCTAATGCTTCCGAGAAGGATGAGGTTGTGGTATCTACCCCTGCCACCGTTTTTACGGAGATGGGAGTTATTGAAGCCGCAGTGCGTATTCAGCGTGCAGTGCGTGCGTGGCTTGAGGCGTGTCGACGATGTCGGCAAAAGCAGTGCTTCGTGGTGGAGGTCCAGGCCCAGGCCAGGGCCTTCCTTGCTCGACAGAGAGTTCTGGCGCGTCAGCAACAAGCTCTAGAGACCCAAGTTGACGCTGCGGTAGTTATTCAGAGCGTGTGGAGGGCGTATGCTGCAAGACGCAGGTTGGTGCTCATCTGTTTCGTTTGAAAATATCCTCGAACTCCTTCCATTCCTGCTAGCTCAAAAAGCGTAATATACTCCGAGAAGTTCTGCATTCATTACTTCGAATAATCTCCTCTCTGCAGCTTGGTTTCACTACCTTTGAACTCCTCAACGTACTTTGGTATTTGTTTTGAGGTCTTACTTCCACAAGTTAAATTTGCAATCTACTTATACCTTGAGAAACTTCCTATCGCATATTTGGGTCAAATACCCCTCCTGAAACCCTTTGAAATTGTTGTTATTAGTTAAAAATGCCTGTCACTTAAAATCCATCCAGAGACATTCTCACTTCCAATGCCTCAGAATCCATCTCATGTTCCGAGAACACTTGTAGCACTCACTGGAACTTGTCTTCATCCTCGACATCGACAGTCATCTTAAGATCTCTTCATTTCTGTCCCTTTAAAACTTAGGTACTCCTGGAAGGCTGCTGTTCATTCACCCGTCCATTCAGTCAGTCAGTCATCAGCATTTTTAGTGATCTGCTTCAATATATTCTTTCCCAGAACATTCTTGCATTTTCTTCGAAGTTTTCTCTCCACACCAATGATCAACCATCCCCAAGCCCATTCTTTCGGGTGCCCGCTTCATATACGCCTCTAGTGCTTCAGACCACCTATGACACCATTGGAGGGTTTAGTCATTCACTTAGAACTGTCACCATTGAACCGCCCTTCTCAACCCTCCAGTCGCCTAGCTATTATTGTTAACATCTTGCTTCCACTGACAACTTGCCAAAGTATCGGTTCAGCATTCCAGGCCATTTTTGCCCAGAATATCAATTCATCATCCGTACTTTCTAGATGCCCAGGCAGTAGCTTTAAGGTTCCTCACTTCAACTAATATAACCCATCAATTTTGCAGTCATTTCTCCAACCCTTTTAGGTGTCTAGACGTCAGCTCCAAGGTCACTTCCACCGATTCGAACGAATCTGGTATACTCTTCAAAGACTTACAATACCATCTATCCTGGAACTCTTTCTCTCATTATTCCATATATTTGTTTCATTATATCACATCATTGATTCGTGTTCCCTTACTGAATATTTGACAGATTTATTGACCTTCGCTCAAGTGTAATTCGTCTCCAAGCCTTCTGTCGTGGCGTCCTCGCCCGACGTGCCTTCCAGACGACTCTCGCGACGCGTTCAGCCGCTGCCGTGGTCATTCAACGCTGGTGGCGATGTCGTCAACAACGGCGTCAATTCCTTCTTCAGCGCCAAGTTGTCTGTTTAATCCAGCGCCGATGGCGAAGCACTCTTGCCTACAGGACGCGTCTGCGTCTGGCTGTTCAACTACAGGCAGCTGCCAGAGCCTACCTCGTGAGGCGAGATGTTGCGGTTAGTTCATTGTAATGCTTTTATCTCTTCTTCTTAAGATGGTCACGATATCACATTCTCGTTTCCTGCATTGAGCCATGTATATGTACATGATTGAAATGTTCATGTTCTTGATTGCTTGACTAGTTTGTATATGCGTTTAGATATCCTAATGACAGGGTAGTGCTTTACCATCTTGATGGAGTATTTTCATCCTTTTTTCTACGATAGCTAAACAGGTATTTTAAACACGGATGGTGCACCTCTGCCTTCATGAGAGAATGGTTGCTTTCTACATGGTGTTATGAAGTGTTGCTGAACAATCGCAAATTAGAAACTGTACACTTTAACTGAGGCAGGGGTCTTTTACTTCGCATCGGGCGGTTTCTGCCTGTGAAGGTACCAATCTACCGGTGGCAACCTACTCCAGGGTTGTTCATCATTCCCTTCCCCTTTGTCTTCGTAGTCGTTGTAGTCCTCCTATGCCTATTCTTCTTCTACAGATGAAAATGCATGCCATATTGACCCTGCAGAGGCATATGCGCAGGTGGCGGGCGCTTTGTCGTAAACGTACAACTGCCGCCTGCATCATCCAACGTTGGTGGTGTGCTGTAAAACAACGACGCGCCTTTCTGCGCACCCTGCATGCTGTCCGACGTATTCAGCACTGGTGGCGGGGTTGCCTTCTTGAGAGGCAAAGAGAAGTGGCTGCTGCAATTGCTATTCAACGCGCTTGGAGATGGTCACGAGTTCGACATCAAAGACGCGTTGAGGAAAGGGTAATTTTTGAAAGAGACAATTGAAAGAGTCGCTTTTTGAATGCTCTTTTAAAAATCTGGTTTTAAGCTGGATGTGTGCTAGGGAACTGTAACTTCTAAAGAGCAAATCGCTGTCGTGATGAATGCAATTAATAATGCAAAGTTTGAAGAGCAATCACCGGCATATGTTGCTGAACGATTGCGAATTAGAACCCATACAATTTAACCTTTACTGGAGTCTTTTACTTCACATTAAGCGTTATTATTATATTTTGTGGAAAAAGAATACTGCAAAACCGTTGATAAATTCGCACTTGAGTGGCAGTAGCTATACACTGCGGCAAATTGTGTGCATTGTCCATTTCAGTTGAGGCGGATTCATATCATGCAGATGCACGCTACTGCGGCCACGACCATTCAACGAGCCTGGAGACGATTCCAAGTCCGTCGTCAACGTCAACGCTTGGCCAATGCTGCTGCTGGGACAATTCAACGAGCCTGGAGGACGTACAGGCAGAAAAAGCAGTCGGTGGTGGAAGAGGAGAGAGTAAAGCTTTCCTTTTAATAACTCACTTCTCTTGTGTTCTTGGGCTTCGTTGTCCTTACTCTTCCAAATCTACTATCATAACATAGGTAATTGAGTGTACCGAAACAATCGGTGTGGAGATAAGATTATGCGGACGATTCGCATAACCATGAGAATGTATTCCTTAGTTCTTTTCCTGATTTGATGACTTAAGTAAATGTCTGAACTATTTCATCTTTTGCTTCATTTGAGGGAGCACTTCCTAGCCGAAACGGCAGCTGCGTCTGCTGCAACCATCCGACACGCATTAAGAAGTTTTGCTAGCTAAAGACTTGGAGAGGAGAATATGACAAATATATTGTCTTTAGTTCGATGGGACATTTTCTTCGCTTTCTTATTGTCATTGCCATGTCTTTCGAGCTACTAGCATTGAGTGGAGTAGTACTGGTTCCTTTCCCCTACTTACTACTGGGATTTTCAATTGCCTACGTTTGGGCAAAATACCTTGCGTTCCAATTTGATCTGGACCACTGTTGGCTAAATTGGTTCATCATTATACTAATGATAGTATTCTAAATACAATCGCGCTCGCCTCATTTCTAAGAACATGACCAGAAACTTTAGAAAGCACTTTATTTTCAGTCCCATATGCCTACATTTTATTAATAGCAGCAGGTATTTTGGTAGTAATATTGTCTCCTTACTGTCAGACCTCACTATAACCGTCTTCTAGTAGTGCCAACCCTCTCCAACTGGAAGTTTGGTGCATTACTACACTAGATTGTTATTAACAGAGCTGTATTTCTTGTCAAAATTACTAACCTCCGCATGCGTGACTCGGTTTTTGCCCTACTTCTACCGCAAGGCAGCTTACGTGATTCAGCGCAACTGGCGAGCCTCAGGACTGCAGCGTTGGTTGCACCGCAGGCGGCGGGCGGCTATCGTCATTCAGTCAGCTTGGCGTGGATATCGCGTTCGTTGTAGCGGTGGGAGCACTGCTGCGACTCTGCGTCGACGTCTGAGCGAGGCGACTGAGGAGGCGCGCACTCGTCCACACAACACACTGGGCGCTCGTGCCCGCTGCGCTCTGGCCAATCTGTTGCGATACACGTCTGTGGCGAGTGTGCTGGACGCTCTCGGTCACTTGGGTATATCCCTTGAGGATGTTTTTCATTCATGTACAAGTTTACTATCTCAAATATTGGTGGTAAACATAGAAGTAGTGACGGTTGGATTGACGGATGACTGGTTGGTTTTGATGGAACTGGACCGACGGAGAGACTGGAGACTGGGTGGGCGGTTAGGTTAACTGATAGATTATTGAAGAGATGGTTGATTGAAAAATCTAATGGCTGAAGCTGAGCGTTTGAAGAATCGCTGTATAATTAGGGTGGTCAGGGCCTAGTTGAATGGATGTTTAGAGAGGCAGATGGAGACGCTGACGGTTGAATGGACGAGTGCTTGAATCGTTGGAAATGAATGTGGTTAATCATTCGCGGCCTAAATTTGGAGATGAATCTTTACTACTTTGAACAGGTTGTCTGGTCGAATAGGTGAATGGTTGACTAAATGACGAGGGAGACAGAAGCAAGGGAAGAATAGATAAATTGAAGACTTGTTAGCTGGATGCAGAAAATTTGTCGATTTCAATGAACCCCCAACTCCTGACGATGCATGTTGACTACTCGCATTTCTTCGTCTAGTTCACTCCATGCAAAGTCATTCATTCAATTCCTCTTTCCCCCCTCACCGCAGAAACCTCCACTCGTTTATCACGCGAGGTTTGCCTCTGGCTTCTCACCACCCCAACTTCAACTACACCAGCCACAGTGACATCACAGTGTGGCGACTGTGGTGGATGTGATGAGAATGCAGAGTATCTTCCCCACATCCTTCTGCGTCTTCTGCACCTTTGCAACCGTTCTGTCCCCGATGAGGAGGTCGCACTGGCAGCCGTTGCAGTTATGCTCAACCTGACAGTCGCTGTAGACAGCTCCGACGTTGGTACATTGGAAATGTGGTGGCAGCGGCGAGTGTTGGATGAGGGAGGATCTTCACAATCAGAGTCCATTGTGGAGTTCCTCTTTGGCAGTCTGCATCGGTTGTCGCGAGCAAAACCTGGTACCTCAGTGAGTGGGTGTTTGGGGCGTAATTTGTTATCGCTTCAGGTTGTGGCAACTTCTTCTTCCCTCATTTGCTAGTCTGTGGTTTCAAATGTGAGCCTTTGGATACTTCGCTGTATGCATTGTTTAGAGGAAGCTTTTTATCGTGGTCACAGTCGGACACTTGCGCCACCAGTGACACGTGCTTCGCCCCTAATTATTTACTCAAGTCTGGTGTTGCAAGTATGCAGCACTTGATCTCACTTACTTGTGTAGTTTATAGTGTCTGGTTATTGCACCACCTCATATCGTGAACAGATGGATTGAATTTAATGTAGAGAGATGTAGAATGTCCTTGATAGTAGGATACATGCCTTTCCATGTTGATGTATAACAATAAAGGTTGCAGGTTGACGCTTGTCAAGTTCTTCATTTCTATATTCTATTGATTGGCCCACGGGTTTGTGAGTGTGGTCGACTCGTTCATTTGTACAGAGCCTTCGCCTCTTCGCCCGTATCGCAGCCCTTCTGGCCATCCTCTGCGAGGCACTGCCGCCCGACTTTGCGTTGCCCACTGATTACGTCGGTGAAGTGGAGACCCTCCTCTCCCTTGTCCAACGTCTTTGGTCTAACGCACTCTCCCGATTGCCCGTGAGACCGGAGGTGCGACTCCTTCTCCGACGTCATCAGGCGCATGAGTCTAGGAGGGATCTGCTGCGTCGACTTGTCACGTAGGTTTTCTACTTCGCGTGGCATTTGAGCATTTCAGTTCATGCATTTGACTAATCGAATGTCGGTCGACTCAGCAGTTGTGGAGAGCTTGTTACACTTGTTGCCAATATTCAAGGCAATTTAGCTTGGATGTCGTAAGATGATGTAGTGAATTTGGACGTGGGAAGTTGCATTCTGGTGGGCGTTTTCAATGCTGATCATGAATACACCAACTGAAAGATGGGTGAGGAACGGTGGAGTTGGGTAGATGGGTCCGAAATGAATGATTGATTGGCTGGTGAATGTAGCAGGGGTAGTGTGGTGGTAGGGAAGTCTTCTCTGACGCTATCATGTCAGAGATGAATTCAAGCGTGGCTTTTCTTTCTTACCTGTGTCCTTTTAGACTGGAGCTGAATTTGGAGCGTTTGCCATCGAAACCACAGGTCAATCCACTGACTGTCTGCGAGTTCCTCCTCCTGACACTTCGAGAGCATCAACGACGACATAAGCATTACCATCAGTTGAAGCAGAAGCACGAGGGCTGATGTTCTCTCCCCCATCTTCGTTGTCACTATTTTATCCTCACTTTGTACATTTTAATGTTTTTATTATGGGCCTTCCTTTCCGCAGTCTCTGTGTAGGCATACTGGTAACTTAGTGGTGGTCGTTTGAAGCAGTTTCCTCTTGGGGGATTGAGGGAGGGATGGTGAAGGTCTCGGATCCATCAGCGCTTGAAATGAGGGTGTAATTCGTACTTGACATTAGCAGTAACCTTGGCAACCTCGTTTGAATAATAAATGTAACCAATGCCAGCATAACGTATGCGATGCATTCGGTGTCTACTCCTCAACAGGGTGTTTTGTAAAAGGCTTGATGAGGGCCAACATTTGAGTGGTCCGGTTTCTTGCCATGCCGCGATGGTGGGGACTTCGCTGTTTCATCAATGGGCAATGGTGAAGGGGAGTTCAGAAATGGACTAGTTGCAATGGGTTGTGGGGAGGAGAAGGGAATTGTTTATGTTAAGGGTACCAAGGCTAGGATTTGTGTGCGTTTGATTTTGTCTTGTATTCTCCGGGTCCGAGAGGTGCGACAACAATGAGGGCGGGGCATCCAATTTAGCGCTGTCTCGGTGATATTCCTCACATTATTTAGTAGCTTTGATTAGGTGGTTTTGCCTTCGTTGCAAAACGTCGATGCTGCACAAGTGCACTCCAATACTGGCACTTCCTGATGTGGCTGATTTGAACTGATACTTGAGGTGCCCCGCAATTTCAAGTTTCAGACCTCTCCTTCCATCGAGTTCGTTGCATGTTCTGCCTACCTACGTCGTAATTAACTTTATCTTACTCAAATGCTAATTTCAACCCATTTAATTACTTAAAATGACGTTCGCTGTGTCAAGCACTTCTTTCGTCAATAATTAACAAGGAAAAGTGCCTTTAGGTGTGTAGAGATTTCTTCGGAATCGCATCGGCCAGCTGGCATTTCATTGGGCGATTCCAAGGTCACTCCATGTCTTCGCAGCACCTTATCGGGGGGGAGTGATCTGGTCCGTTTGGAGAGGCCAAAGTCGAGGATTTACTTACTACTTGTGTAATTGACACCTCAGGGTCTGGACCACATGGAATACTTTATTTTAATTAATCAACAAAAAACACGAAAGTGTTAATACCAATTTCTGAAGAAGTTTTCTAGGCGTTAGATCTGAAGAGAGTTGTATGAAATTGATGTTAGCTCCAATTGCTTAACATTCGATGAGCGTGCTTCGTCATGAAAAGTTGTGCACACAGATCTAGTGAAACAAAGTAAGCCTGCACTGTAACAAATGCTTGTCTTTCTCAACTACACGATAGGTGGGAAATAGAGGACGTCTGCCCCCACGCCCGCTAAAATGCATACGAACTCCCATGTGGTCATGATTGTGCTCACCGAACCGTGGGTTCGAGAGCTCTCAACAGAGCACCGCTTCTTCGTCACATTCGACGCGTGCGCTTCCACTTAATAAACAAATGAATAAAATGCACTCAAAAACTAGCACTTTGATGCAGAGGTGATGTGAAAACTTCTTCACTACCTCACAGCGCCTATTGCTAGGCAGTAAAGGCGCAAAGATGTGAAAAACGTTGAAGGTAGACTTGAGAGACCATTTGCAGAGTAAGTGAATTGCAAATTCGCAGTTATACAAAGAGCAAACTTTGTGTGTCAATTGCAGTTGCAGCAAGACATTTGGTGAAATGGCATTCTGGGAGTTGCTATCAGTTTGAAGACCAACTGTTCAAACCGTGCCGAAAGTAGAATTGGCTTTAGCTGTGTTTCAACAGGATTGATTTTTCCTTCAACTGCAGCAGGACTTCGAAATTATGGCTCCGTCGCTTCAGTGGTAACAAGGACACATCCAAACACATACACATTATAATCCCCGTGCCACAGACCTCCCGATTTCAGATATGATCTAAAACACACACCTGGAGAAGAAGTGCATGCGTCATTGACACATCAAAGTGATAACTTTTAAACGTACTTCAGTCATTCGTTTGTTAAGAAGTGGTGCTCTGTTGAGAGCTCT